TAAATCCTCACCCGAGAATATTTTCCCATTGATTTTCAGAGAGTAGAAGAGAGAGGGAAAGACAGAGAGAAACATTGATGTGAGAGAGACACATCGATGGGTTGCCTCCTGCACTTGCCCAACCAGGGCCTGGGCCAATGAGGAGCCTCCAACTGAGGTACATGCCCTTAACCAAAATCGAACTCGAGACCCTTCCCTCCACAGGCCAACACTTTATTCACTGAGCCAAACCTGCTAGGGCTACTCATTTTTAAATATAGTAAATACATGTCTATAATAGCTATTAAAATACTGCCACCCTGTAGTTTACTTTACTCAATAATTCCCCTACAGATCTGAACTTTTGGGGAGGTGTACATAATAACACGGAAATTGCTTTTCCAGAAATGTGTACCATTACTACTTGCTATTTGGCACTATTTGCTTCTGTGCTTCATATGAAGTCTAATTTGCTTCAGTGTACACATACTGGATTTAGAGCTACTTTTGATCCCCTAGGACAATTGGAGGGTCCGTCCTGAGAGCCACTGCCCACAGGCTCCAGCAGGAGGTATTGAGGACAAAGGAGCATCAGCAGGGAGCAGGGAGGGATGCAAGAATGGTGTACCCTATGGAGTAGTGGTGGAGGAGTTCGTGGTCACATGATGAAAGGAGGGTAGTCCAAGACAGTATTCTATGGAAAACAGTGGGAGGTAAGCTATTACTAGGTCCTACGTGGTATCTCTATCTCATATCAAAAGCAAAACATCAGGTAAGATTCCTGAAATAATATTTAACATTTTCCCCCCACCGATAGGGGTTACAGGTATCTGCTGTGTTCATATTGATCGGCTCTCTTTCATTTCAAAAATGATTCTACGGACCTGCCATCTGCAGAATAAGCCATTTGAGTAGCTTTCCAGCAACAGAGATAGATTTATTGTCATATTTGAGGGCAAATTTACAACAGGCTGAAAACAAACAGACAACAAAAATTGGCCTACCAAAAGATTCAACTGATAACTTTTGATCTCATTATTAGTAACTTAATGCAGTATCTTTTTTTACTCAGAAGGGTAAGTATCACAGGTTCTGTGTACCTGCCACTGTGACAAGTATGTTCTTCATCAATGTTCTGTTTTCACAGGCTCCATGCAGCCTGCACTGTGACTGCTGCACACTGAGCTATATTTCTGTTCAAACATAGAGGAACATTTTATTTATTTTTTTTCCCTAAAATTGATCATCCTGGGATCTTACATTTTATAAAAATAGAAATTTCCTATCTGGATTTCTGGATTACTAACTTAATTTATGGCTACTGTACCAACTTCAGTAACTGATATCCACTGTGGCAAAACTAGTGACTGAATGATATATGGATAGATGCTATTTCCTGAAGTGATTTGTTGATGTTTGTTTCCCCAGCAGATTTATGTTGTCTATTAAGTCTTCCACCACCATCTGGTATAATTAATGACTTGTGATACTTGCCTCTTGTAGCACAAAAATCCATCGCCTGGTAGAAAATGCAGATGGGCATTCTATGAGATGAGCCAAGATTGTGAACACAAAGGCTTCCTCTGCCAGCTGAAAGCATATACACGAAAAGCCCTCGCCACCTGGAATTTATCTTCTTCCTCCTTCAATGTCCCACAACATAGGACAGCAACTAGAATTTGAGTGGGACTGAAACTAAAGCTTCAGTTAGCAACCAGGGGAGCCTAGCCCCCTACGTCATCATCCAGTTTGTTGACTTCCGATTTTATTATCGGCCAGAGCCTTTGTTTACTTCTTCTTTATTCACAGCACTTTTTTTTTTTCATTCAGTTCTCTGTTCTCCCTTTAATCTCTTCCTTGACCTGAGAAATCACCATTTTCTTTTCTTCACCTTTTTTTAGATTTAATTTTTTTCTTGTTTAAAGTATTACATATATCTCCTTTTCCACCCATTGCCTTACCCTGGCCACTCTCACTCCCCAGCATATGCCCTCACCCCCCTTTACTTTTGGTTGTGATATTTGTTATTTACTCTGCAAGTGCCCCTTGAATTTGGAGAAGAAAAGAAAAATATTGGGGTGGTTTGTGTTTTATTCAAATTATAGGAATAAAGGAGGCAGATGGTTTATCCATAGCCCTGGCAACTAGGCAAAAGGTTTCCCATGTCTCTGACTCCCTTCTATGTCCAGAGCAGAAGAGGTTGGGTTGGTTACTAGGACTTTGCAGGACTTCAGGTGATCTTCATTTCATTTCATTTCTTCTTCTTTTTTTATTTTTTGGCCGTATGATAAGTCTATGTCTAAGGTTTTATTAAAAAAATTTCTTTATTGATTAAGGTATCACATAATTGTCCTCATCCCCCCATTCCCATCCCAAGCCCCTCCCCACATATGCCCACCCCCTGTTGTCCATGACCACTGGTTAGGCTTATATTCATGCACACAAGTCCTTTGGTTGATCTCTCCCCTTTACCCCCACCCTCCCCTACCTTCCCTCTGAGGTTTGACAGTCTGATCGCTGCTTCTCAGTTTCCAGGTCTGTTTCTGCACATCGATTTATGTTGTTCATTATTTCCCCTAGATGCGTTAGATCATGTGATACAAGGAGGTGATCTTCATTTCAAAGAACCTTTCTTAGGTCCCACTGTGGTTAAAATAAAATTTGGGAACTTCAGGATTTCCCTCTCTAGTGATCTACCTACATAAGAGAGATTTGTGGGTCGTGCTTCAGGTGGAGGGCCGTGAGTTGTACGGGAGGGGATAGTTCCCCCTTCCTCTCTTGGTTCTTAAGACTGGCCCACCGATTAAAATGACATAAGACAGATTAACAGGAGAAAAAAAAATTTAATACGCACAGGAATTCACATAAGCATGAGAATACAAAGGCAGTAAGGCAATTGGAGGCATATGTGTCATTCCGGACGAAGGAGAAGAAGACAGGGGTCACGGGAAGGTGAACTACTATCTGTGGTGGTAGTTCCTTCCTAAAGCCTGGTATCAGCCTCCCATCCTAAATTCTTATAGCAGTTGGAAGGTTGAAAGTTCTCAGAGCTTTCTGGGCCTTAAAAATAACCAGTTTAAAATAATATCACAAAGAGGCATATTTTATGGTTGCAAACTTCTGCTTTTCAGTGTCATGTGCCTGAGAGAGCATGGTAGTGTTGGAAGAATGAAACGAAGGTTTTTTTGTTGTTGTTGTTTTGGTAACTAACTTTCTTCAGTGGCACTTCTATGTGGTGAAAGATGCTGGGGAAGGAGAGCAGGCCGCACAGCGGTCAGTGCAGGTGGCACTGGGCGCTGCGCAAATGGACCTCAGGCCTCAGATTCTGGTTTCGCGATGACAAGCCAACCTGGCCCGTAGGCAGCCGCCTTTCTCCTTTGTCCTCCTTGCACACTTGGCGCCTGTCAAGATGCTTAACCAAATGACATAAACAACCGCTAGGAGGTATCCGAGCCGTGCATCGGCCGCCTAGGCACGAGTACACGGCTAACGATGGGTCCCTCCGCTCCGCGGGTCCGGGCGGGAGGCACTTTTCCAAGGTGGCGATGAACCAGTTTCTCTGGCGATGAACCAGAGAAAGACATCTGAAAACAAGGGACCTTCCATGCAAAAGTGGAGCTGACGGCCGCGCCTCCAAAGCATGGTCGGGAGGGAGGTCTGCGGGCTGGGCCGCCAGCCGCCTGCACATCTGGATGCAGCAGGGCTCTCCCCTGCAGGGCGGCGGCGAGGCGGAGGGCCGCGATGTGCACGCACCTCCTCGCGCGCTCGCGCGCGGGCCCGGGAGCGTCGGTGTGTGTCTGCGGGCACGCGCGCGCGCGCACGGTGGCCGGTTGTAGCTGCGGCTCCCGGACCCTAGTATCAGGGGTGGGGGCACCGGGGTGATAAATCTCCTCCGGCCTTCTCGCATCCCACTTCGGGTATATAGGCAACCAGGTAGAGAGAGGCCAGGCTCACAGTCCCTGCGTACCGGCTGCGTGTCCAAGGGCCAGGTTATCAGCCCTCTCCGGCACACTGAGGAATATATATATATATTTGAGAGGGTAGTGGTGTTTTTCATATATATATGGAAGATAGTGGTGTTTTTGTTATATATATATATATAACAACATTATTGGGGGGAGAGAGTGGTGTTTTTGTTTTTTATTGTTTGCCTCTATCTCCAGAGAGCAAGGGCGGGAGAGGGGCGCGCGCCCCAGCCGCGCATCGCGCGTCCGAACGGGTCGGAGCAGGCAAATTGGCAGCGGGGGAGGGAGGGGGCCTGGATTTCCACCAATCCCCGGGCGGAGTCCGGGCGCCGCGGAAGGCTGCGGCGGGCGCGCTGCTGAATTCACTGATGAGAGCGAGTTCTTTTCTTCCCCGGGAGGGGCGGGGAGCGGGGGTCCCGGCCGGCGGCGAGGCGGGGGAGCCCGGGGCGGGATAGGATAGCGGTCCCGGGCCGCCGCCGCCGTGGAAATTTCCAAGGACTCGGCGGGGCGCGGAGGAGAGCGCGCCGGGAGGGCGGGGGGCGAGGGGGCGCCGGCGGCGGCGCAGCGGCGGGGAGGCGGGGAGGCGGGGAGAGGCGGCGGAGGCGCAGGAGCATCTCTCGGAAGGAAGGGGACGCGGCCGCGGGGTCCGATGCCCGGGAGGGAGCCGCGCCGACCCCCGGACCCGCGCCGCGGGCCACGGTGATGCTGCAGAGCCCGCGGGAGCCGCTCTCCGCGCGGGCGGAGGACCCAGCAGCGCCCGCCTTCTCCAGGGGGAAGCGACCATGATCGTGGCTCGTGACTTGCCGCCCGACCGCTTCCCCTAGAAAGAAATCCTTAAAAAAAAAAGTTGCATTAAAAGAAAAAGAAAAGAAAAGAAAATCCTTAAGCTCTGACCTTTGGGGCCGTGGGGGCCGAAGAAGCGTCTGTGCAAGTGCAAGCAAGAAAGCCAAAGGTGTGTGTGCATGGGGGGCGCACTTCGCTCTGCGCTGTGCTGAGGCTCTGGTCGCCGCCCCCCTCCGCCCCTGCACCCCCCGCCCCCGGGACCCTGGGGCTGCGATGAGCCCCTGCGGGCGGGCCCGGCGGCATTCGTCCCGAGGGGCCATGGCTGTCCTGGCGTGCAAGTTCCCGCGGACCCGGCTGCCAGTGGGAGCCAGTGCCCTCTGCGTCGTGGTCCTCTGCTGGCTCTACATCTTCCCGGTCTACCGGCTGCCCAGCGAGAAGGAGATCGTGCAGGCAGTGCTGCAGCAGGGCACGGCGTGGAGGAGGAACCAGACGGCGGCCAGACTTTTCAGGTAACTCCTGCCCTCCCGGTCCCTCCCCGGATCGTGTCCTTTCCTCCCAGGGCGCGGAGGAAGGGGTCACTGGCGAGGACCGCCTCGCAAGGCATCCCTCTCATCCCAGTCCTTCCTTCCTTCCTTCCTTCCTTCCCATCCCTAACCTTGGACCCTTGAGTCAGGAGCTCTGACCACCATTGACCCTCAGAAATAGGCAGACACCTGCTTTGCCTGTACGCATTTCTGCCCAAGTCTGATGTGTAGTCTACGGTTTGGTGATACCTGGCGGGAAGAGGGCCCCGGGCGAACTTTGTGCCTTGCCCTTAATGAGAATCCCTCCCTTGCGCTCTGCAGACATCTGAAGCTATAGAGAACTAGAAGCAGGTAGGCTCTGTTTTTAATGAGGTGAGGTGAATGGTTGGCAACCGAAATCACTGATGAGGGAGTGGTGGCCAAGGCTTGGGCAGTGCGAACATGCCCACGCAGCCAGGACCCCGTGACTATGTGCAGCGCGCCTATCACAAACAGGGCACTTCCTGAGGCCCTACTAAGAGCCGGGACTGTGTGGTTTTGAATGGTAAAGTCTCAGTAACTTTCCAATAACAGCTATTACCCCCAGCTTACTAACCACAAACCGAGTCTTGAGGACGATCTTTCTCCAAGGTCACCTACCTTGGAAGTGTCCCTGCTGGGCACTTCATCACAAAAGCTCTACAGCTCCCAGATCTTTCTCAGGGCTGAGCCTGGGGAAGCCTTCTGAAGGACGGGAGATTGCTTTAGGGAGGGACTTGACCTCAGAAAACAGACCGAAGGAAAAAACTTAACAAATTATAACCAGGTTGGATACCAGAACTCTGAGGATCCCTCAGAGGTTGCAGTTTTCCTTCCTTTCTGGGGATTGCAGCATAAGAGTCTAAAAATAAGTTCTTGGCAACCAACAGGGGCTGCCTGTGGATTGGAGGGAAGACAGGACTGCTTTCCACTTCCCTTCCGTCCCCCAGGGCATGCTGGAGGACACAGGGGTGCTCCCCCCCCCCCCCCCCCCCGCAGGTGCCCCTTTCACCTTCAGTCCCCGGGGCTGAGGATGCTGTGGCCAGCGCTTCCGCTGACTGTTGTGGTCTGGATGGGGAGAGCTTCCCTCTGCTCCGAGCAGGACCTTCCAGGCAGTTCATAGGCAGGTGAGAGCCAATTTAAACATTTGTCACAACTGTGCCAAATGTTCAGAAACATCTATAAATTTTTTTTTAAAAAAAGCACTTTAAAAATATACGGTTTCCTCCCTCATCTCAGGCCTGGTTTTGGAAAGAAGGTCAAAGAATTAGGCAATTCTTTCAGGGAAGGATGTTAAGTTCTCCTTTACACTGGGAAGGGAAGACTTTTTCTCTCTTCTCTTTTTAGACTTCATTAAGTTTAAAATCACGCCCCTCCCTTCAAAGGGTATGAGGATGTATCTTCCCTCACCTCCACAGTATTGATTGTTGGGCTCAAGAGCACTCAAAAGGATAGCACCCAGCAATTCTTTTCTCTAAAGACAGAAAGCCTTTCATGTAATATACGGAAATGAGTTAAGAGCATCTCATTGGTTTGCAATGAGAGTCCATTTTTTTTTTGGGGGGGGGGGGAAATGTAGGAGAGGAATAATGAAGCTCCATTAGAGAATAGATTTCTTTTGGAAAACATAATCAAGTGGAAAATACTTCATATTCTGAGACACACAGGCTGATAGTTTTCTTAGACACATTTGCCCCTTGCTATCTGTAGCCTGGAGTAATCTTTGGTTGTTTGGCTGTCATTTGGTCTTGTCTGTATGTGCAGAGAATCACTTACTGAAATGATACACCGTACAAACTGCCTAAACACGTATCCCTCCAAGATAGTGCTGTAAGATGGTGTAAGAGGCACCACTCCTTACTGAAAAGCATATGTGCTTCAGAGGAGAAGCCTGGATTTTTAGACTGACCATGCCATGATTAGATAAACAGCAGAGGGTCTTTGTTAAGTTACTGTATCTCTTGGAGTCTCAGTTTCCTTATTTATAAGTGAAATAATAACATACCTAGTTGGTATAAGGTTTAAAAAAAACCAAACCCTGATGATAAATAGCAGTCCATAGTGCTATAATTTTTATAAATGATATATGTTATATGTTACAGTTTAAATAAAAACAGCTTGCTAGCCTATATGAATTTGTAATATTTCACCTGCCAAATTTGTAAAGAATCTCTATTGGTCCATATTCTACCCACACTCCCTTCCACCCCTTACATTTAAGTGAATAAGCAGGTACAAGGAGTTTTTAACAATAGTAAAAGTATCATGGTTTAAGTTAAATTGTTTTTTGCTCTCACTTTTGTGAAAATCCATTGTGTGTGCGTGTGCATGTGCTTGTGCGTGTGTGTGTGTGTGTGTGTGTGTGTGTGTGTGTATTTTACCACTGGGATTTTTAGTATGCAAGTAGTAGGGTATGTTTTCTAAATATTAGACAGGATGTTAGAGGTGGTTTCTGTGCACCCAGTTCTTGCCTTGCTTGTAGGAAGGAATTCACACAAGAGACAGTACCAAATAGCAGCAAAGCATGCAAGAGTTTACTTGAAAGAAAAAGAAATACACTAGACATACACGGGGCAGGTTAGCTGGTTGACACAGAACCAAGTGCCCTGCTCCTTTGAACATTTAAAATTTTATACCCTGGAGTTGGATTGTGGAAAAAGAGAAGAAAAATACCTTCTCAGGTTTCAAAGCTACCTCGATGTTACTCTCTGTTAGACCACATCCTGGAGGAAGTTTCAAGTCTTCGGCTTCCTCACTCTTGGGTCTGTGTAACATAACTCTTCATTCTTGTGTAAGCATCTCCCGTGCCTTCCCCTTGATTTTAGCCACCTATCCCCATGCATGTCTGTCTAGCTACTAACATTCTGCCCCTCGAGTGATATCGGTCAAATTCGTTTGGGAAGTTGAGGGACGGTAGTCTGGCTTCTGACTCTACTTCCGCTGAATTGGACATGGAGCTGTGTTGGCGCGCTGTCCCTTGCTCTGTCTGGGGTGGCTAGATTGGGGTGGAGGGCCAGTGCCCTGTACCCCGGTCCAATGGATTTTGATGTATGAGTTGATAGCCTTATTGATGTATTGCCTGTATCTGGGAGGGAAGAAAAGTTGTTAGTTTGTTCATTATGCAGGGACAGAAGGTGCAGAGAAGTATGAGAGTTATTAGTCAATCTAACAAGGGTAAGAACCAAGTTAAATTGGGAAATGCCTGCTTAATTGTATTCCACATAGTATCTTTCATGCCTTCTAGATTAAAATCCCCTAGCCAAGTGGCATGTTTTAAAATGGCCTGAATGTCTGCTTCAATTTGGCCAGTTGTATTGATGTAAAAACAGCACGGAGTGTTTGCTAGGGTACATACCCTTCCTTGGGAAGCTAATAAGTAATCTAGTGCTATGTGGTTATCAGTGACCATCTTGGCTATTGAATTTATTGATTGGAATAATTATCCTAAGTCTCTGCCATTAGTAGTAGCAAGCGTGGTCATTGAAGCAGGGATATTTTAGGCTGGTACAGCACTGTAGGTAATGCTCCCTGCTAGCCTAATTAGGCTTCCAATTAAGGCTGCTAGGCCTAGAACAAGTAAATCTCTGGCCCTTTCACACCTTCTGTGAGGACAATAATTCTGAACAGCTTGCTCTGGGGATGTGGTGTAGCCTGTTGTCCCTGTTCCTGTGTCTGTACACGGATTAATGTATTGTTGAGCTATTCCACTTTGGGGTGTTTGTTCTAGGAACCTAAGTCCTTTGGGTAAGCAAAGACATCCATTAGCATCACTAGGTTTAGTGGGGTCTAGGGAGATATGATTTAATCAATTAGTGATTGATGACAATGCCGATGTATTGCATCTAGGGTAGTGTCTTCTTGCTCTTCCCTTAGATGGGAAAAGAATGGCTCTGTTGCAGTTTTGTATAGTCTGTATCTGAAAAGTTGTATTGCGGGTACTAGAGCTATTTAGGGATTGGAAGGTACAGTTAGTACCATTTGGTTCTGCTTTAACAAGGGATCCGTTGCAAATACCTGCTGATCTGTGTGTGTGTGTGTGTGTGTGTGTGTGTGTGTGCGCGCACATGCGCGCGCGCGCGCGACATTTTTATAACAGCAGGTAGCACTTCGGGTTGTGCTACAATTCTAGGAGGTTTTGTTTTCTGTCTGAGAATTTTAAAGTGAGGCCATCCTGGTCACAATGAAAAACACCTCTGTCTGCCCGATGGGAGAAATTCTTGTTAAGCTTTGTATAGAATATGGTGGTCAAGGGTTGAAAAATCTAAGGTGTTACAGTAAGTTTTGGAGTAATTAAAAAAGTTGGGTTGTGCTTAGACAAATTAACCTGATAGGGTCCATGGGATAGAATAAGAATTGGTCAGAGTCCCGTTGGAGCATGGTCAATTCTTGTTCTGTGGCAGATCCAACAGACTTCAGTTATATTGGGAGCCTGTAAAGTTAGCCCTTGAGTAAAATAAGAAATAGCTCTTGTTTCTCCAGCGTAGGCCTAGCACATGTGTAAAGGTTAGAGGTAATAATAGGAGTTTATTCATTGTGTATGATCATAGAGAACACCAAAACAAGCTTTAAATGGTGTGTCTGGAAGTGCACAGATAAATGAACAAATAAGGAGAAAAGTTATATAGAAGAGCGATTCTGAAAAAGGAGGCATTACAAGACAACAAAAGAACAAAAGACCAATCCAAAAGAACATTAAGAAATTTGTGAATAGCAGTATAAATTGAGACATCGGTGATTGGGAACTACTACCTCATTGGTTTTCTGCAGATCTTAAACAAGTCTGTTCAGCTTGTGTGTTGCCTGACAATGTTGGGAATATATGTGTGTTTTTTTTTAAATTAATTTTTATTGTTCAGATTATTACAGAGTCTCCCCCCGCCCCCGCCTCCTCAGGTCCCATCCTGCCCAGGTCTCCACCTTGCCACCCTATTGTCTGTGTCCATAGGTAATGCATACATCCATATAAG